TACGCTGGGACACGGACAGCGTCAGGTGGAATAAAAAGGCCCAGTCGAGCGAAGACGTGGTTCAAGGTTACTTTGCATTTCAGATGTATAAATAAGTCCAAGGTAAATGCCATCTCTGGATCACCGGAGCGTTTGACATTTTGTTCCGAAGGAGTTTTCGGTTTGGTGGCGGCCGCGGTCGTCTTCACAGGATGTTTCACTTACCTGAGTGGTGTTGGTTTTAACCGACTCCTCATCTACGCACTACTGCGTACTCTCAACTATCAAGGCAATATACGGAAGTAATTAAGTACAGCAGGTAATCACTACTCCTAATCTGTGGATTATAATTCGCTCCCATTCTTCTGCCTGAGTTCGTACATGAAACGTTCAGCGCGTCGTGCGTTCACAGCGTTTTTATCGTAAAGGAACGACAGCGATTTGCTAAATTAATAAAGGCATTAACATAATGACTTATCTGTTCCCTCTCTGTATAGCTTTATAATGATGGCGCTGAGATATTAGCCAAGCTCAAGTGTCTCCCGGGGCTGAGTTTTGATTACGGTCGGTCGCTTCGCAGAAAGCACGTCCTCGGTTTGAACCCAAAATAGATCTGCGCCGATTGAAGGCGGCCTCTAATATTTGCTGCCGTTCCTTCAAATCCCAAATTAAAAAATGTTAAGACGAGGTGTTCACTTCCTGCCGCCCTTGAAGAATGTCACATTTCTTTTTTCTTTTTTGCTGACAGTGTGAAAAATGTAGTGTTTTCTTTTTTTGTTCCTGCCAGTCGTCGGTTCCTGTTCCTTTCATGACAGAGTTTGACGTTCAATTGTCACACTTGTCTGCACTGCATTTCCTGGGGAAAATTAATACAACTTCAGTAGACGCCAACACAGCAGCGCGGGACCAGGAAAAATGTCTGTCTTGGTAAACAGAGTATGAGCGGGTACATCCGTCACCTCCACACCACCAGCCAACTTAAATATTAATAGCATTTAGGTAAATGGAGTAAAAACAGCAGCACACACTTGGCGTCAAATCAATAGCCTTTCACTGAGGCAGCTCTAAATGCGTCTCAGGGAAAAATGGTAGCGCGGAGCCAGATGAAAGACGGCGATCAAGTCCTCAGCCGGAGCAGCTATTGGATCTCAGTCACGTCTAATGACTGAAGTCTCCGGAGACGAACCCTGAGCCGCGTGGAAACATTAGCCGAGTCTCACGAGTGTCGTTGGCGTTCTCTAACGAGGGGTGTTTATTTAAGGTGGTTTATTTACCTTAACTCGGCGTTTAAGGTGGTTTATTTACCTTAACTCGATGAATACTCCTCTTTAAATTACACCCAGGACAAATACTCATACTCTCACAGTGTGTATTTACAACTAAAACCCAGACTTTGTCCAATGAAACAATTACCTCAAATACACTTTGAACAAAGAGAAAAACTGTTCAGTTTATTCTCTAATCTGCTGTCAGTAAAAAAAAATCAATGTTCATTCTGATTGATTAAAGAAAATGGACGTAGCGATTTACCTCAAATATAGTGTGTAGAGAGTGGACTTGGACCGAGGTCTACGATGTCCTCATGTGCTGATCCCTCCCCTCCCCCCTCCCCCCGACCCCCTATCAACTCCGTCAGCTATGAGAAAAAAAAAGTGAAGTTATTTCTTGCCTTTGTTTTTTAATATTTTAAGATAATAAAATAAGCTAACAATTTACAAGTACATAGATTATGTATATTGTCGACATAGACGTCAGGCTCCAGTGTCCAATGATGTATTTGGAACGTACATTTACTATGAACCTAATATCTGTACTCAATAATATATTTGCCAAAAAGTACATTATACATAGACTACAAATAACCAAACCCCCAAACTGAAGGACTTCACAGATCCAATCTGGTCCCAAATATTGTTAAACAGTGTCTGCTAGCTTAGCTGTGAGTTGCCCCCCCCGCCCCCCTCGACCCTCTCCCAAACCTGACTTTTGGTTCTACGTGACAATGGTTCTATTTTCCTGAATTTTCCAACCAGTAATTAATAATTAATGGCTGAAAATGTTTTCCAGTGGAAAAAGAAAATAAACTCGTATGCAGATGACACCCTATTCTTTTCGTAGCTTTATTAAATATCCGATCTGGTCTGTAACGATTTTCCTTTTACATTTTATCCCAAAAACTTGTGCTCTTCAGTTTGACAGCGACCTTTACCCGAGTGGAGTAAACATAAATATGAAACACGTGTGAATTTTCAGACGGATTTTTATTCTTCTTTTAAACAAAAACATCACACAAAATTACACAGTAATGACATCTCCTAGTACTGTAGTAGTAATACTTCTTCTTCTTTTTTTTTTTTTTTGGCATCTTTTACCAAAGTTGATGATGACATGACAGAGATCGGACGTTATGGTGTCGTAAACCCCTCCACTGAGTTATCGTCGTTACATACAGAATATATTCACACGTTTCCTGCGTTAGCTTCATCCACCGACGGCGTGAAGCTTCTTCCCTTCCCTTTTTTCTTAACTCATAAAAAAATACAAGCCATGATTGATGTAACATTTATTTTACTTAATTTACAAGTATAAACAAACCTACGTTTTTTTTTTTGTTTTTTTTTTGGTAAAACCTCCAGTCATTCAGATTCTGGACACCTGTGACTGGATGCCGTTGATTTGATGTTTTCTAGCGACAGCTGTGAGGCTGGAGTGACTGCGACGCTGCGATCGTTAGAATACTTGTTTATCGTTACACCTCCTTAAGTGCTGGGTTCTCGCTCGAGCGATTCGTTTTTCACACATTTTTTTTAATGTGTTTTTCAACTTGATTTTATATACAGCGGTTTTTTTTCCGTTTGTTTATTAGTTGCTTTTAAAAAAACCAAAACAAACAATGGTTACGATTTCTCTTTAACTTGACTACCAGTGGATTTTTTTTTTTTTTTTTTTGCATCCTTCTTCTCCTTGACTACAGCCTGACTTTAGTGAGAAATACTTGATTTGAAAGCGTTTATAGGAACATGACTGTGAGGCTGATGCTCTGCTCCAGGTTCGGTCGAGGCTGAGGAGGAAAACGCTGCAGAAATCCCTCCAACAAGAGCAGCCTCAAAGAAGATAAACCTGTGAGCCGTTAAGACTCTTAGCCAGTGTTGAGGCCCGGCTGAGGGGGGGGGGGGGGGAGTTGGGGGGGGGGGGAAATCCGACCGGGAGCAACAACGAGCAGCACCACCCGCCCCCACACCG